ATTCCACTAAATCTGTATTGCTGTCTAAAGAGCTGAATCGGCGATTTGGTCCTAACTGACACTGCAATGATTATTTTCTCAGTAGATCCTTCGCAGTATCTATGATACTGATCGCGTGTCATTTTTAACCGCTGCGGCGATTACAACGTCCGTGTCGCCATCACATTCCCATTTCAAGTAGATTTGCATTTAAAATCACCCGCCTAGCAGAGAAAGCCATCCACAGTGATGCAATTGGAGCACCCTCGTATGATGATTGGACGCCTATTAATGCATTGGTTTGCAGCACTGGTGAATTCACAGTAAAGCACGGTGGAGAATTGAGATGCAGTAAATGCAAGTAATCCCCTTCCACAAAGTACTTAAGACTGCAAAGTTGGATTACATGCACCCCTATTTGTTGTCTTTGCTTATTCTAGATTCCGCAGATCAATTCTTCTGTTGTAATGACTGTTGCATGTGAATATGCGAGAGCCGCACCTACGGCAGCAGCAGCATCAATGACGAAGTGAATGGTGGATGATGAATGTAGGTGTGGATGGAGAAACGAAGAGCAATGCGAAGGAGACAGGGAAGTTGAAAAAGGAGGAATGTGATTGGGGATGGGAACGCGGTTAAGCAGAAGAATACTGATTCGACCTGCGCATTCTTGCTCGCAGTTGGCATTTTGCCCTGTGTTACTGGGCCTTTTGAGGCACATGGCTCCTCCACTATTTCTTGCGGACATAGAGGTGCGGTCTCCCTTTGTCTGCTGCCACTGCTGCCCCGTATTTGCCCTACTCAACTGTACCTCATGACCGCTTCATGGGGGCACCAATTATATCCACGACTCACTCAAAGGAGAGTGTTTCGCCGCAAAGCCACTCCTTGTGTACAAAATGCATTCATGGTATACAAGGAAAGTCTGCAGAATGAGCTGCTAGTGAATGTATGCATGGAAAATGATCTTTGTGGGAGGAAGCAAATGTGTAGCATTTTCCTCATGGTGTGCCTTTATCATGAGGTGCTAAATTTGACGCCTCGTCATTGACGACAACAGCGACGAAATTGTGCACTAGTTGGCATATTCGCTAAGTCAAAGCAGTTGTTGAGGCATGTCTTACGCTATCGTTAGTCCCTTGATGGCACCTACCACAGTGGATGTGGTAGGTGCAAAAGCGACTCTGCTGGCGATGATGCATCTTGTGCTGTCTTTCCTTTCATCATTGGAAAAGCCTGGTGAGATCCAGCATTATACCTCCGAAAGTGCACCGTTTGAGGTACCTGACCAGTAACCCGTTCTTCCAAGGCTAATAGCAAGAAGACAACCAAATGATTTTCGAGATCATCAATAGTCTGGCGATGTGTGTAGGTATCTACGTCTCTACCCAATCCACTGGAGTCGAACACCACTTGGTTTATGGTGTGCTACACACCACCCCCATCTCCCTAATTTATGCACCTCCTCTTGCTCTTTTACGTCCCGACTCGGCGTGCCGAGTTTTAACAAAAGACCATGTCAAGACCCTGACTGAGTGTGGTTACAACTCCACCACTACGGTAGAACGTGAAACAGCTTACTATGTATGGCCTGTGGATTTTGAGCAAAAAATGATGATGCCAACTCTTTGTGCTATTTTAGATTGCATCTACAAATAGCTAGAGAGTCGAATGATCACTGCTGAGAAGGAGTACTTCCGCTGTCCTCATGCCCTTACCAACCTGATTTTCTGGGCAGAAAAGCTGCTGATATCCACGGGTCAACCCATCGTTCCAACATGAAAACTGATGCTTGGCATTTAAAAGACCCCCATTTCAATACAGTGCTCTCAGGTGGTTCTGCTGCGTTCAAGGGCATCAACAAATGTATGCAACTCGTTCTTATGCCTGCGATGAATGCTGCATGATAATTGCTGAAAGTTATAGGTAGAGAGACAGCAACAAAGGCAATGTGAATGGTGAATGGGGAATGATGAGTGTAGGCGTGGAGGCAGTCAATGCAGATAAACCTCCTTGATACACTACCTAAGACTGCACAGTTGAATTACATGCGCCCCTATTTATTGGCATCGCTTACCCTTTATTCGTCGAATTAATCCTTCTGCTGTAATGACAGTTGCACGTGGAGGGGTGAGAGCCGGACCTACACTACCAGCATCAATGACGAAGCATATGGCGGTTGGTGGATGATGAATCTCGGTGTGGATGGAGAAGCGAAAAGTGAGGTGAATGAGGCAGAGGAGTTGGCAGGAGGAGAAATGAGATTGAGAATGTGAACGTGGTTAAACAGAAGAATACACAGTTGATCAGGGCATTCTTGATCGCAGCTGGCAGTTTGAGGCATGTGTATCCCCCATTATCACTTGCGGATATACAGTTATGGGTATCCCTTTGTCTTCAACCACTGTAGTCACGCTCTCACTACCATGCGTCTGCTTCGAATGACTGCTTTTGAAGACTCTGACTGCATTCACTACTCAGTCAGAGGAGGGCGCCTCGTGCCAACGCCATCCATTTTTAGATAATGGAAAGAAAGTGTGCACGAGTAAGCCGAATATCTCTCCTTCGGTATGGGTACGCATTGAAAATGACCTTCACGGGTAGTAAATTTGTAGCATTCTCTGTAATGTTAACATACTCTAATAAATTTAACGTCTAAAAATACCACCATTGAAATTCTGAATTCCAATGGACGATCTGACTATACCAGAAGCACTGTCCGTCACAGGACTCCCCCAAGATAACATCCTTCACCATCGTCAAAGTGCATGGTCCTGGCTGCGTACACTTTAGTCGCATTGGATATCGCAGTTTCACTGTTCTACATTGAGAGCTCTGCCGTTTGAAGGCAAAACATACAGCAATTTGCGCAGAGATTTAGGAAAGACTATGTTTGGTGATTTATGTCAGCTTGCGTCCACCACCACATTATATTGCCACTTTTCTTCTGCATGCCTAATGGAAGTTGCTGAAATCCTTGCGGAGTACTAATGCAACCACTGTATTAGTCAGTGCTGAAATGCTCGGGATCATGCTCATGTGTTACGCTCTTCTGAGGTGGCAGCAGTCATTCTGCTCAGTGTGATCATCGTAGATATCGGGAGAGATGGAGGGGAGGTTGACGAGAGGAAAGTTCATCTGAGACACTCTCATCGAAGAAGGAGGGACGGTCTTCTAAAACGGCTACCCGGCCACCGGCCCTGGCACTACTACCACTACCTTTAGGTCTTATCTGCGCGAAACGGCACAGACCTACAGAAGAGCAGGTAGAGGCTGTTTAACAGTGCTACCCTAGTGCCCTCTCCTTCCTTTATTTTACATTCTAACGCGTTTACGTAATGCGTGTGCGTGTTTGCAGACCAAAATCTCTACCTGAGTCTGACTCTCGGTAGACGGTGAAAAATGGAGCTGGAATAAAACTTTTGGCTGGGTCAAGGGAGGCTTGACAGCCGTTGTTCTTCCTTTCTCCATGGATTGAGTGGTAATCTTTGCATAGTTGACCTCTGAAAAATCGCCTTTCGTGGATTTTTCTCCCATTCCGACTCCAAAGTATATGTGTACATTGACCTGACAGTAAAATGTGCCTTAAAAGCAACCGGATACAGCATTCCCATATGTATTACCGAGTTGAAATATTAATGACGGACACTCCGTCTGTTACATACATAAAATAAAGTAGGGTATGCTACATGCAAATCTCCAACATTTAAAACAGCTTCGTGAGAAGAGTTATCGTACTTCATTGAAAATATTATAGCAGTCAATTTATCCATTGCTTACCTCGACGCTTTTGTAAGTAATCAATGTTTGGGCCATCGGTGAGGCCCTCACTACCGTATCCATCATTGTACTACCCCAATAAGATAGTAACATTTTCCTAAAAATATTGAAACTATTATTACCCAAGAACACAACTAGGGATAATGTTTAAAGTGATAATGCGTCGTGACACTCTGCTGGGTTTTGAAACCGTTGGATGTAGGAACCAGGCTAAAAGTTACATTGTTTATAATGTTGAACTATGCAAGGTAGATTGATTCGACAGATGAGTGCAGGAGGAGAGGAGGAGAGATTTAAGATTTTGTCGTAACTTGCTCCTTTTGCTGTCTGCAAGTTAAGACATAGTGAAAGACCACTGTAAACCAACGTAATCTCAAATGGGGAACAACAGAATTCTTAAAAACTTTAATGCTCTGGCTGTTTAACGCAGTGAGAAGTGAAGGGATGCTACACTTGCACCATATTCAGCACCGAATTGACCGACTGAGATGAAATGTAATCAACAAACCCACGGGCACTTACCGATGCTACTTAGGGAAAAGTAATACAGAGCAAGATTTGATTTGAATGATGCAATTCACTTTGCAGATCCATTTCGCAACGTTGACCCCTTTCATGAACGCTCTCAGGGCCAACCACTGTAAAATCACTGGCATTGAGATTTCACCTCACTTCCATTTGAACTTTCCGATGCAATCGGTGAAGTCTCCAATGCAGTTATACGTACTAGACGGAAGTTGACTATTCACTGATCACATCAAATTAATAGCTATTCTAATGGATGGGTTCTTGATATATGCGTAAATTAGGATAGCATGTGTGGAAGTAGTGGTTCTCATTTATCAACCTGTAGCCGGTCAAATAATACCGACAAACACAGGGCCATGGTATGCAATATGCCAATCCTTTCGTAATGTACCTTTGGAAAGAGTTGCTTTATATATTTATGAAATGCTCAACAACATCCAGCAGTAGAGACCCCTCAGAATCCATGCCGACTGATCCATAGTGGACCGCATCTAGACTGGTGGAAGGAGATCAGATAAGAATAAGAATTCAAAATTGTTAGGAAGGTAATTGATTCCAGTAGTGGACGAACCCGAATAGAAATCACTCCAGTGCCAGTTCCCAGGATCGCAACTGACAATCCCTATCACATATACATCAGTTCTCAACTCCTCCTCACCAATCCTTTCCCCCCCCCCTTCTCTCCGCAAAGCTCTCAATTTCGGCACCAACACATAAGTATGAGGTCTAGTTAAATTGTAAGAAGTCGGTAAGCATACAATTAGGTACATATACGTACAGAACCCTAAAAGGAAGACGAATGTCGCATAGAATATGAAAACTGTTCCATGGGGGAATAGGCACAATTCAAACTAAATGGGCGGATCTCATCTCCACTCCTACCGCATCGTCCATCGTATTATGAATGATACATCCACTTCCACCGTTCCAGTCATCAAACTCTCAAGCAACTGAGAAGATACCTGGCCTAGTGGATCTGCAGTTGCTTACCGTGTGGAACTGAATTCGGAGAAAGGGGACATGTTCTGGCCATTAGACGTGTCCACAGTTAGATGTAGGATCATTAACCTAAAAGCAGTGAAAGAAAATCTGTCAATCAAGCAGTCTCAAGACCATCTTATCGACAGAAAAATTAAGTCCAGAAATGACTAGCAGTCAGAAATCTGCCCACGCGTCAGCCCACTCACCACCACCGCCTGCATCACAGGCATGTGACAAGCCCACCTGCTTACCTCACCATCAATCTGCAGACGACGACCGTTAAAAAGCACAAACAAGCAGATCCCGAAATCACACAATTACATGTGGGAAAACATTAGAATCCATAGAAGCCAGTTAGGAGTGGAGTCACTAAGAATTTCTAGTTTTTCTTGGCATCACGTCGCCTCATTTACCGGAATACATGCATGTAGACACTACCAGGTGAAATATATCAATTGCAAAAAGACGAGGAACAGCGACAAATTTGCGTCCAGTGCATCATATGGCGACCAAATGATTGTTGTTTGCTTTGTTTTGAATGCATCTAATGCAAGTACAAATAAGGGCAAGGAGGACCGGCTATTTTGTACCTCAACAAGATGAGGCCAGCACAAAACCGATCACTGAAGTTTTAACTCGTCGAGCAAAAGTCAGTAACTACTCGGCGTACGTGTTTTATATGCACGATATATTCCACCAAGACGAGGATAGCATGACAACTTGAATACTGCAGCCTTTGCCGTGCATTACACGTTAAGCGCTGGCGTTTACAGAACGAAAGATAAGTGTTACTCATATATGAACAGTGAATTTATTAGTTAACACAATATGTGACAAAACTCATTAACTGCAATCTATTATTACCGGAGCAGATCATACTGGATCCATGAGAGAAAAATCACTTTACTGCAAAACGATTGCGATGACAAATGCTTTGTGTCCAGCAATAAAGTGGGTGAGATTAGCATTTAGTGCTGTTCCGTAAGGCCTACATGCTTATCAGATGACATTCCAAGGAAAAATTGCACTCTTGCGGAAGTTAGGGTGCACAATTTCCCTGGCACCGAGTGAAATTAAACTTTAAATAGGCTATTTCACTGATTAAACAAATAACACCCCATTTACTGAGGTCGTCCGTTATTAAATAACAGCTTTTAACGTACC